AGCTATTGTGAACTATGCTGCTATAAACATGAGTATGCATTCATACATCACTGTGTTATGATGCTTTAACACTTTTAGAAAGATACCTAGAAGGGGAGTGGCTGAATGAAATGATTTTAGTTTTAGTTTTAGTTTTTTGATCAATCTACATACTGACTTCCATAGTGGTGTTACCAATTTACACTCCCACCAACAATGAAGCATTCCTTTGTCCCTGCCGTCTTGCCAGCATTTATTATTGGTTGATTTCTTGATGCTAACCATTCTTTCTGGAGGGAGATGAAATCTCAGTGTTGTTTTAATGTCCAGTTTTTGAATGGAATGCAATTTTGAACATTTTTTCATGTGTTTTTTGGCCATTTATATTTCTTCATTTGAGAAGTATCTACTCATTGCAGATGCCCATTTTGTGATTAGGTCTTTATATTTTAGAGGTCTAACTCATTTGATATCTTTATATATTCTAGATATTAGCCTTTCGTGTAAGGAGTAGCTGGAAAAATTTTTTTCCTTCTATCCAGAGAATCATGTCATCTGCAAATAATGATAATTTAAATTCTTCCTTTCCTATAAATATACCTTTCATTTGTTTAATTTCTCTGGCTAACATTTCACAAACTATATTGAAAAAGAGTGGTGGCAGTGGACATCCTCATCTTGTTCTAACACATCAGTTTGGCCCTACAGGAAGGAACCAAGGTATGGTATAAGAATGTGGAGATCACTAGCTTGGTTCTGACCTTTCACCTCTGTAGACTGTATTGTGTATCTCTCCTCTCTATGTCTTCCTGTTCCTCCCTAGAATTAGGGAGAACAATGCTCATGTCTACAAATGTAGTACTTCATGTTAATTTGTACCTTAATAATTATGCCATTGTTTTATTTATTCATTAGAAAAATAGCCTGGTTTTTGATGAAGAAATTCACAATCTCTGTCTAAACTCATTATAACACAGAATGAATTAAAATCTAAACAGTTCCTGAGCTGAAGCAGTGGGTTACTCCATCTCCTTCTGTATTTTTCATATTTATGAAAATGTCTTCCATGGATTTTGCATAATTGAATGTTGGGTGTAATTTTTTTTTCAAAGGAACATTTTCCTTGTATCCATGACATAGAGACAAGAAAGTACTATTTTATCTTATGTCTGATATTTTGGGTTGTCCCTGGAAAGGTGGATTATACAGACTTGATAATCACGGGATGAGGAAGTGATATGCCATGAAAAAAACATAACAATATTAAACAGAGATTTTAATCTTTAATGCCTGCTCTTTGCAAATGAAGGATAGCCTCTAGGGAGCTTAAATGACAGAATGTTATTACTCTCCAGATATTCAGCATTTACTTAAGGACAAAAATGAAATGTCTTGCTAGAGAACAAGGGGAACCATAACTTGGGATCTCAGGATAATATAAAAACAATGTGACAATTAATTTTACCAATAATATCCCTTACTTTTCCATATGTTTTGCATTTGTCACATACTGATCATATAGGGACCCAGGGTTATACATTTAATTCATATTTAATTCAGCTGTATCAACAATAAATCTAGATACATAACAATTCAGAGTATTAAAGACACTAACAAACTTCCTATGTCACAGAAATAATATATAGAGTAAGCAGGATTTAAGATTAAATTGTCACTTTCTGAAAATCTGAGAGTATAATAATCATTTTAATTTTATTCTAACTATATGAATGATTTCAGCAGAGGTTCAGATGAATTAACCACCGGGATATCCCAGGTGCATTATAGAAAAATTTCCAGGTTCTTGAGCAAAAATATAACTGAGAAATAATTTTATTTTTCCTTTTGATATTCCTCGAGCTCTTTAGAAGAATTGAGGAAGATTTGAAGAGATGTAATGTTATCATGTATGGAGGCAAGAGAGATTGGTCTTCAGTTATTACATACCCACCCTTTCTATGATATTTGGCTGTGATCTGTAGCCATCCTGCCTTCTGGAGATGCAGAGAGTGACAATGGTGACTTTGCCCTGGGATCTACTAGGAACCTCAAAAGAGAAGCCAGTAAGTAGGGGCTCTTTTTCTGGAGTGACAAGGAAGTGAATTACCTGGCATGATACTCTGTGTCTCTAATTAGCACAATTCTGTGTGTAAAGGAATAATCCTAAATCTAAACCCATACTAAAATCATATCAAAATGGATTAAATACCCAGATACAAAAAAATTGACCCTGGTGGCAGACAAACTAGGTAAAATTATTGAAGACAGAGACATAAACAAGGGCTCTCTAAGCAGAATTTTGATTGCACAAGAAATAATACCAAGAATGGGATTATTTCAAATTAAATTTTTTTCACAGGAAAGGAAACAACCAACTGAATGAAGAGACAATATAGAGAAAGAGAAAAAATTTTACCAGCTACTGCTTGTACAAATGACTAATAATATATAGGATATAAAAAGAACTATAAAATTATACCCCCCAAAATAAATGATAAAATTAAAAAGTTGAAATGATTTCTCTCAAAAGATGACATACAAATGGTCAATAAACATATGAAAAAATGTTCAGCATCTTTGACCATAAAAGAAATACAAATTACACAACACTGAGATTCCATCTTACTTCAGAAAGAATGGCTGTCAGGAATTCAAGCAACAGCAAATGCTGGTGAAATTGTTGGAGAAAAGAAACCCTTCTACATTGTTGGTGGAAATGTAAGCTAGTACAATCAGTACAGAAATAAATATGGAGGGTCCTCTAAATTGAAAAATAGAACTCCAACTTGACCCAGCTATACCTCTTCTTGGGTATCTCTCCATCTGAGTTACTTTTCTCCTTGCTGAGATAAAATAATCAACATGCAAAGTTAACTGAGTAAAGGTTTTCTTTTTCTGTTTTTTGTTTTTTGGTTTTTTTTTTTGTACCAGGGATCCAACTCGGAACTTTCCACTTGTGAGGCAGGTGGTGGCACCACTGAGCTAAATCCCCAGTCCTCAGCAAAGGTTTATTGTAGCTCAAAGATTGTAGAGGTTCGGTTCATAATTGGTTGGCTCCAAGGCAGTGTGGCATGGCAGAGGGGCATCACGGAGGAGAGGTCAGAAAAGCAGCAAAGTAGGGAAGCAGCAAGCAGAAATCGGTGACCCTCTTTCATTTCCTTATATTTTATCCAAGCTACCCACCCTTAGGGCAGGTAGCACTCACACCCAGGGTGGGGCAGCCTTAATCCTAGCATCACACTAATGAATCAATGTCAGCATTGCATCCTGTATCCCAGCATCACACACCCAGGTTTGGCCATCTCAGAAAAAAACCACTTAGGACCACATGAGGCTTTAGCGGGGGCATCTAGACAAGCCATAAACCCTCAAAATTGTTAAAGATCTCATACTACAGTGATATATGCATACCCACATTTATAACAGCACAGTACACAAAGGATCAATTATTAAAATGAAATGCATGCCCATCAAAAGATCAATGCCTAATGAAAATGTTTTATATACACATAAAAATAGCTTTAGTCTGTCCTACCTAGAAATGTAATATATTTTACATTGACATGTTTTGATCTTTCTTTTTTGCAAAATAATTATGATTTTGTAATTGTGATTTCAACACTATGCAGAAACTGTGTAAAACATGGCTGAGTACCATGCATTTAAGAAGCCCTCTATAATGCTTCATGATGCTATAGTTACTGACATCATTCTCATGCTTGTTGTTAGCTTCAGGCTCCTTTTGGAGTACTTATTACACAGTTTGAAGAGACCTGTTTTCTACTGTAATGGATCAAATGTCCATAGTTCCAAAAGTGAGGGAAGAAAACAAAACTTTGAATGAGAAATCTGGACTGCCACCACAACCAAAAACAAAGGTATCATAGTCCTCATAGATTACATTTTACATTTTGTTATCTTCCCATTAAGCAATTTAGAATATTGTGTTTGTCTGACTAGTAGGTAACACTTCTAACAGTCGTTCCCCAATCCATCATTTCCCTCAGCAATTATTGGGTGAGGCTGCATCTCTGATGGGTGAAGAACGGCTAAATCTCTCTTCACCCCCACTCTGCCCAGATCCTCATGACAACCCAGACTCTGTTCTCAGATTTGTCAAAAATGCCATTTTAGGAGTTTCTTGTTGCAAACAAACATGGGAAGTGCACATACACTTATGGAGCCCACTGGAGAGGAACCATCAAGCTGAAGGAAGGGCATATTCTGATTTTTTACTGTTACACAACATTACAGACTTCAGGCACATAATTTAAAATCAGCCAAAGCAACCTATCTTATCCAAACCTCTAGGAACTCCCTAATATAATCAGAGGAAGAAGAAGAAGAAAAACACAAAATCAATGTCCACAAAGGTTTGGAGCTCCTCTATTTTGGAGCTCGTTCATAATGTTCACTTTATTTGAGTCTTCATATTTTAGAGAATCATCAGCATTTTATTTACACTGCTTATGGTGGTAAAGCACACATAACAAAATTTATCATTTTAACTACTTCAGCACACAGTACAATGGTATTGATTACATTTACATCATTGTGAAATCACAAAGATGCAGCCAGTAAAGGTTTGTACTATTCCCAGAAATTTTCCACACATTTTTAGGGTCCCTGTGCCTCTCTTTCCCATCACTATGAAACTTGTTGAGGAATTGAGATTACAAATGACAAAGCAGTGACCAAGGATGCTAGAAGTGTAGATCTACAGGTTTGGTTTTATTGCTATATACCAATTGATTACACAGGTCCTAGAAAGCCTCTTCAGGGCACTTTTGATTCAGCATAAGGGTGACCACAGTGTACATTACTGAGGCCACCGCACTATTTCTGGGGGATTGCAAAATGGCAGAACCAAGGTATTCTACAAGACCAGTTCCATAAAATAAGCAATCAACTGATAAGTGAGACCCACAGGTTGAGAAGGCTTTATACTTCACACTTGATGATGGGATACTCAGAACAGAGGAAACAATTTTATAGTAAGAGAAAAGGATTCCTGAGATGGGTTAAATGCCAAATATGATACCAAGAAAATAAATAACCTTATTATTCCTAAAAGATCCAGAACAAGCAAGATTCAGAAGTTGAGAAGGGTCACAGAAGAAATTGGAAATTTCTATGTCCTTGAAGTAGATAAATTGTAAGGCAATCAAATTGTGCAACTGTGAGTCCAAAAGGCTAATCGAAAATGATACCAACACTAGGAAGCCACAGAGGCAAGGGTGCATGATGGCTGAATAATGTAAGGGATGGCTGATGGCCACAAACCTGTCATAGGCCATTACACTAAGATGCATATCATCCATACATGCAAAAATAACAAAAAGGGACATCTGTGTCAGACAGCTGAAATAGGAGATGACTCTGCTTTCACTCTGGATGTCTACGATCATCTTTGGGACTGTGATGGAGATGAAACAGATGTCAGCCAAGGACAAGTTGGAGAGAAAGAAGTACATGGGGGTGTGGAGGTGGGAGTCAGAGATGACAGCCAGGATGATGAGCAGGTTCCCAAGCACTGTGACCAGGTACATGGATAGGAACAGTCCAAGGAGGACAGGCTGCAGTGCTGGGTTCTTTGAGAAGCCCATGAGATGGAATTCTGGGACACCTGTGAGATTTTGTGTTTCTACGTTGCTTGGACACCTTTTGGAAGAAAATATTCTAAATAAGAAAACGAAATTTCAGACGTCCAGAACACTGTACATATTTTGAATTCCAGGGTTTACAAAGTATTCACACTTGATTTCCATAGATCCTCGGCAACATTGCACAGCTATGACAAGCCCAGTCTTTGAATCTTTCATTAACAGTTTCTTTTTTATCATGATTTATTTGGTTTTTTGAGTAGTATATGTTCATGTACATGTTTACATTTATTGTGTGCAGTTGGTACATGTACATAACACATCCTCCTTTATTTTTTCATCCCATTTCCCTCCCCTAGCTCCATCTCTCCATCCACTTTCCATTTGTGAAAGATCTATCTTTCTACTTGCATTACTCACTTTCCTGTATATATTAGAGACACTCAAGTGAGCAATGTTAGAAGACTAAGAACACTGTACATATCAACTTGGCTTTGTTGAATTCCAGATTTTGATAAAAATTGTTGAGTTCTATGCATCTAAACTTAGGACATCACTGACCATAAATGTGACATTAGTGTACAGAGCAGCTGTCAGTGGTTAGAGAGTAATGTTAATAAACTTTTTTGAAATTAAAAGAATTAGGTATATTTTGTTGAAACCCACATTAACAAAGTGAGTTACTTCACATGAAGAAAGTTCTTTAGTTTATTTTTAGTCTTAATTCTGCAATCTAAGATGGCATACTCATATTTTTCCATTGTTTTCCTGCTGTTAAATTTTCATTTGAAGACTTTAGGATGGGTTCCAAAAATCTAAATGTAAATTGGAAAGCTGGAAGCTTCTAATGCCCAGTTAGTTAATTTTTATTTCAACCTTCACTGAAAACTAGATTGCAATTTCCTCCTCTCAGCTACACGATGACAACTTGGGCTTGTTTTTTGCTCATTTTGCATGAGTATATAATTGAGAAACAAAGCAGAAAAGGAGAGAAAATAAAGTAAATCCACATATACAGTTCCTTATCTGTAGAGATAAAATTATCTATTCTATTAAATTATCTATTGGTAAGAGGTTTGTAGGCAATATTTTCAAAATTATATTAAACACGTGGACTGGTGATTCTCAGTCTCATTTATCAATATATTTACCTGTGGATATGTTAATATATGTGGATACTCTGGTTTCACCCCAAACCAATTTAATCAGAATATCTGCGTGTTAAATTCTTGATGTTTCTTTTCTACACCAAGGGTTGAGAACCAATGCCTTAGAAAGTTTAAGGGCATTTGGAAAACATTCCATTAATATTAAAATATTACTATACCGAATAATACACAATGCACACATTAAAATATAAATATTAATAATGTATAATTCAAAACTAATATATAATGCTGCTTTGAATTATTATCTATGAAATTTGAGTTCTGGATATCTTTGCTTGTTTCTCTTCCCTACACACCTTTCCACCAAAAGGAACTATCAGAATTTGGTAGCTAGATTTTCCTGTCAATGTATAATGTCAGTTTTTTTCATGTATCTATAATTTGCCTTAAAAATCATACTCCAAAATATATAAAGCTCATCTAAACTGTATAAATAAGAACATCTATTTCCCATCAAATGTACAAGTTTATATTGATACATGTTTTTAAGTTTCTCAATGTATGTGAATCTATTTCAAACATTTTAAACTGATACCCAGAATTACCTAAAAAAAAACGTTACTGAATTGGCAAGTTGATTTGGGTGACAACCTTTTCAAATTTCATCTAACTCTGTCCATATCTCTCAAGGGAAAAGTTCCCATATATGATGGGGATAAAAGATTGTTCATTAACTTCCAACAATCAATGCATATTCCATTTATGACTAATCATCTGTGTTCATTGTCTCAGTAAAGTATGGGTTATTATCAACATATTTCCTTATACATTTTGTAACTTACAAAAATATTGCAAGCTTGTTTATTATAAAAAAGTGAAAAATACAAAGAGAAGTATGAAAAGAACCTACTAATTATTCCAACTCCTTAACGGAAATTACTGCTAAAATATTTTAAAGATCACCTTATACACATACACAAATATATGGGTATCTCTCTCTTTACAAGTAATAAGAACATTTTAAAAACAAGTAAAATTTTATTATACTGTTCATATTGCTCTGCAGCCTGTTTTGTTTCCTCTAAGATTGATATATGTGTGCTGAAATACATTTTCCATTTCAAAGAAAAAATGGAAATGCTTTTGTAAGTGGGGAGAAGAGAAAAGGTTTAAAGAAGGGGAAAAGAATGGGAAAAAATAATTAAGAAATATTATGTACAGGTACAAATTCCTTATGATGAATGTGATCGCCATGTATGGCAAACATGTACTAATAAAAAATAAGTATATAGCTATAAATGTCTCTAATTTCTCATTTTTTATGGCTGAGTAGTACTCCATTTTATACAAAAAACACATTGTCTTTATCCAGTCTCCAGTTGATGGGTATTTGAGCTGTTTCCAAGTTTTAGCTATCACAAACCATGCTGCTATGAACATGAGTGCACATATATCACTGTGGTATGATTCTTTTAATTCTTTGGGGAAGATCCCCAGCAGTGGAATAGTGAGGTCAAATGGGACTAAGTGGATGCACATTGAGGTGATACTCTTAAGTGAAATAAATAGGACACACATGTATAAATACTGAATAGTTTCTCTGGTGTGAGAAACTGAAAGTGTAAATAAGGACTAAATTGTGTAATAGGTAATATCAAATAGGAAGAAAAGGGGCAAAGGGGAAAGGATAGAAGGGAATAGGATGAATATGAGAAAATGGAAAAATAGGAACAAAATCTTTGTAAATACAGAGGAATGGAGGGGTTGAAGGGAGGGCTGGGCAAGGGTTAAAAATAACCAAGAGAGGCTATGTAAAGGTGCAAATTTCCACTGATGAATGTCTTTATATTGTATGCCTAAAATGTACCAATGATTAGAATGAATAATCAATAATGCAAAATAGGAAGAAAAGGTCCAAAGGGGTAGGGGTAGTGGGAGGGGCAGGGGAAAGGAAAGAAGGGAAAGGAAAAATAATGAGAAATGGAAAAAATGGAAATAAAGTCTTTGTAAATAGGGAAGGGTGGAGGGGGTGAAGGGAGGGCTAGGAATGGAGAAAAAATAAGAACCAAGATGCATTATGTAAAGGTAAATTTCCCAATGAGAAATGTAATTGTGTTGTATACCTACAATGTACCAATAAAAGAATAAAGTGCAAAAAAAGTATATAAAACGTTTTAAAACAAGATTTTTCTTTTGCTAAAATAAAAAAATATGTAATTACTGAAAATTTTAGAGTTTGACAACCTATCATTTTTTACATGCAGATGTGCCAAAATTATTTATCTTCCCACAATTAGTGGACTTTCAAACTATTATAAAGTGTTACAAGGAACAGCTTTATATACTTGCTAGTACTGTACTTAATATATAAAAACAAAATATTCTTGTAGTTTGTACATTAATAATTTTTCAAAAAATAATCTTTTAAAGGGGGAGTATTTTGAGGGGTGATTGAGGGCAATATATCTTTTACTGTCATAAATTTTTAAAATTAAAAGCAGTAATCCTTCCATTATAAACCATTAAGAAATTTCAACCACAATGAGGAATAATATTTCCTTTTGGCTCTAGGACAAGAGATAATGTTGTGTGATGAAAGTCAAGAACTCAGTATTTTATTCCCAAGTCATAGATCTTCTGCTATATGCAAAGTATGCATGAGTCTCTCACTTCACTGAGAAGTGAAAGGAGAACAACACCCATCCCCACAACATGTGTAGCACATAAGAGAAGTTTAAAACCTAAAAATATTTGGTCATTATGTATATTGTTTAACAAAATATAGAATTCAACATTCTGGACAGAGTGACTTACTGATGCAGATGATTTCTAAGGAGCACTGGAGCTGGGAAAAATATGAACTCTAAAATGTATCTCCTCCCTGGATAGAAGTTTTACCTGTTCCTTCTTTTGTCCTTGTTTTTGGTTTCACACCCTCATCAAAATGTCTGCTAAGTTACTGAATAATTAATTATATAGAAGTGGTTGAATGGATTACAGGGAATATGTGTGCATGATGTGGACACAGACAAAGCAATTCTATCTTGTCTCCAGTTCTAGGTGGCAATCCTGAGAGGGATAAAATGCAGACAGGAAAGCACCATGTGTGCCAAAGCCACACTGATTATGGTGAGGATTTGTGAAGTCTATTCAAAGTTTATGACAGATTTTTTTCTTTTGATGCCTCCTCTTTGCCAAACAGGTAATCAGAAGTGAAAGAGCTAGTCATTCCTCTCCACCCATGCAACATGTATAAGGACAAATGGGAAATGTCCTGCTACAGAAATAGGAAAAATGTCATTTCTAAGCAAACCGTATTTTAAAAGAATAACGTTTGTCTTTTCATTATTAATGAAAAAATTAAAATTTTCATTTTTTCTCATCTTACATAGTTATCACTATTAATCACATAAGAAACACTCATTATCTATTGTTCTATTAATCATTTCTTATGGCTGTTGCCTCAACTAGAAATCACTTCAAAAGATAATGCTGAGTCTCAGTGATACTAACACTCTGCCCTTTGTTACAGAAAAAATAAGAGCAGCTAGCAGAAATTTAAATTAAATTATTGTTGCCTGGATCTGATCCACTAAACTTTTTCATTGTTTTTCAACTGTGAGAGTATTTCATCAAAGATATTGTGGCTTTACCACATATACATCTTGGACAAAATTTAATACTGTTTTCAGTTTGCTTAGTGGGAATGAAATCAATATCTGATTTATATGTTCAAGGTTGAGTGGGTGAGTACAAAAATGAAAGAGGAAGTAGTTAGCTGGAATGACATACAGCGAGAGCAGGAGGGAGACCTGAACTGGGTTTGCATGTTCCTAG